TGATCAAGGGATTTCAGCTTCAATTCCTCTTTTAGGCCATTATAGTTGTCAAAAATCAAGTTTACTAATTGGAAGTGATAAGAATGTCTTACCAGATAAGCAAGGATATTGTCTTCACTGCAAAGATCAAGCGTGGCGTCCTTCCCTTTCCCAGGTTAGTTTCAATGACGCCGCCATTCTTATACATTTGTTTGTTTTCTTTGAAGTTGTTTTCATGGGGTTAAAACTAATTAAAGAACTCAAAACTCCATTTGTTTCTCCTTCGTGTCTCTTTCATTTAGGTGGTTGCGGAGATCAAAGAGCTCTGTACCATAGCTTTTCCTATGATCATCACGGGCCTACTTATATATGGAAAATCTGCCATTTCTATGCTTTTCATGGGGAAATTAGGGAAAGAGGTTTTAGCAGGAGGGTCTCTCTCCATTGGCATAGCAAACATCACTGGCTACTCTGTCATTTCCGGTCTAGCTATGGGCATGGAGGCCATCTCCTCTCAAGCCTGTGGAGCCAAGCAATGGCCTCTTATGGGCCAAACCCTTCAGCAAACGATAGCAATTCTCATCTTGGCATGCATACCCATATCTCTTCTGTGGCTCAACTTTGAACCTGTCCTTATCTTCTGTGGCCAAGACCGAGCCATCTCTTCTATTGCCTCTACTTACCTCGTATTTTCGCTACCAGATCTAGTCCTCCAATCTTTCATTAACCCTCTCAAAATTTACCTAAGAACCCAGAACATAACCCTCCCTCTCCTGCTCAGTGCAGCTTTTTCACTAGCTCTTCATGTCCCTATCAGTTACATCCTTGCTTATCGTTTCAGCCTGGGCATTCGAGGCATTGCTGTGGCAGTAGCCAAAACAAAAAACCCAGAACATAACCCTCCCTCTCCTGCTCAGTGCAGCTTTTTCACTAGCTCTTCATGTCCCTATCAGTTACATCCTTGCTTATCGTTTCAGCCTGGGCATTCGAGGCATTGCTGTGTTTTTAGCCATAACAGACATGAATCTTCTTGCTGCCCTTCTGCTTTACCTTTACTTCTCCGGCATCTGTAGAAAGTCATGGCAAGGTTGGTCCCTCCAATGCTTCGACGAATGGAAGCCGATTCTTAGCCTAGCCATCCCTAGTTGCATCTCTGTGTGCTTAGAATGGTGGTGGTATGAACTCATGATAGTTCTTTCAGGAATACTTGCAAATGCTCCTGAGGCAGTTGCCACTATGGGAATTCTAATACAAGCAACTTCTCTTGTCTATATCTTCCCTTCAGCCCTTAGCCTTGCCGTATCAACTCGAGTTGGCAACGAGTTAGGAGCAAACCAGCCCAACAAAGCCAAAATGTCTTCTATAATCGCATTACTATGTGCCGTTTTGATGAGTATTATCGCCATGTTGTTCATGACATTAACGAGGCATGCTTGGGGTCAGATTTTTACCACCGATAAAGCCATATTGTCATTGACAGCGACAACAATGCCGGTGGTTGGGCTCTGTGAGCTAGGGAACTGCCCACAGACCACCGGTTGTGGGGTGTTAAGGGGCAGTGCTAGGCCTACTCTTGGTGCCAACATAAATTTGGGTTCCTTCTATGGTGTTGGATTGCCTATAGCTATGATAATGGGCGTAGGTATGGGTTGGGGCTTGCTGGGCTTCTGGTTCGGCTTACTAGTAGCCCAAGCTATCTGCGCTTTCGTCATGGTGGTGGTGTTAACCAGAACAGATTGGAAAATGCAGGCAAATCGAGCCAGAGAGCTTACTGGTGCTGATAGTGAGGATGAAGCAGAGAGCAAAACGCTCGATGGATCAGTATCAATCATACTAGTGGATGAGTTGATTATTGCTTAGTATTTTAGTTTTCTCATGAGTTTTATATATTTAAATTTTGTATTATAGTGTTTAGTACAGCCTATGCTCACATTTGAGCCTTCTTTTTGGCTTGAATTTAACGTCAATATATAGGCATATGAAACTTTCATTTGTCTTCCTTCCAAGTACGAGGCAGTAGTCTCATTGGGTGAGCACAATTAGATCATGCGTTATCGTAATTAATTTGGGGCCGTTTGCGTTTTTTTTTCCTTCAAATTTTTGGAGCCAGGATAGGGTAACCATAGACGGAGAAGGGAAGGCAGCGTAAGAAAAAGGGCAGCCCCCTTCAAATTCCAAGGCAACTATGCGTGTTTGGATTGGAGGCATGATGTGTTGTTTTTTATAGAATTTATATAAATTTTTTTTTATAATATATAATTTTTTTTTTCAAAAATTATACTCTTAAAAAAAGCCAAACACATCTCTTAGCTGAACATAGCCACTAGTTTTTGAAAATATGAAAGCCTAAATTGGTTTTTACACTATCTCTAGAATAGGTAATTAGTGAAAAAACTAAAATAAAAATTGAAGTTTAATATGGTGATTAGTGAATCATTTGTTTTTATTTTTTCATTCATTTTTATTCATTTAAAGCATTTTTTTAAGTTTTAAGTTTAAACAAATTTTGAATTTGAAATTAACTATTTATATAAATAGTAAAGCATTTATTTATTTATTTTTATTCTTAAGCTTGAATTTTCTTTCAATTGTTTATTACCTAATCGGTTAATATTAAGTTTGAAAAAAATAAATTATAAGACAAGGAACTAAAATATAAAACACAAAAAATATATGGTTAATTTCAAATTTAAGATTTTTTTATTTTGATTTAAATATTTATTTTATTTATTTTTGAGTTCCTGAATTCAAGAAATGAGAGAGAAAGTTATTAAAAAATAATGAATGAACGATAAAGTTGTTAGTTGTTATGATTCTAACAAACAAAATAACTAAGTTTGGTATTAAAGGATTTTATTAAATAAGATGAGTTCAATAATGGTAGCTTTTGACTTTTATCTTGCTAAAAAAGTAAATCAAGTCCATTTAGATATTTTGAATTTAGTTGATTTTTTTTCTGAGTGATTTTGAAATGTTTGAAAGTTGTTAATTGGTTTATGAAGGATTTAATTATGTTTTGACGGTATTTTTATATCAAAATAACTTTAAAAGTGGATTCCAGGGGTTTAAGAACTTAGTTACATGATAGTTTGAAGAGATTAATTTGATTTCTTGTGAATACTTTCCTCTTATATTTTATATGAATTAATTATATTTGATTGAAGTTTTTATAAAAATAGAAATAATTGGTTATTATAACATATATTAAAATGAATCAGTATTTTATTGTGGGCTGTAGAGTGTCAGTCCACAGTAAAACATTAATGTTTAGTTTTTTTTTTTGTTGAGCTATCGTTTTTTTTAGTTGTGTTTTTCTTGTTTTTTAGCTTTTTTTTTTGTTTTTTTGGCTTTTGGGCTTTTTTTTTAATTTATTTTATTAATGTTAATTTTTTTATTTGGTTATCAGACTTTCATGACACAGATGCTGGATTTAGCAGGTTAACCTGTTTGATGAATTTACCCAGATTTTTTTAATTTTAATTAATTTTTTCATTAACTTTAGTTTGTTAATGTTAAATTTCTTTCTATTTATTTATTTTATGACATATATCCCATGTTTGACGGATTAATTTGGTTTTAAGGGTTAAGGTTGGCTCGTCAATTTTTTTTTCTTTCAATAATTTTTTTATTTAGTTTAGTTTGTTAATGTTAAAATTTTTTTATTTAGTTATTAGACTTTTATAACACAGATTTCGGGTTTAATGAGTTAATTTGATATGACGAATTAACCCGAAATATTTTTTTCTTTTTTTTTAATTTTTTTTGTTCAGTTTAGTTTGTTAATATTAAATTTTTTTCTATTTAGTTATCAGATTTTCATGACATATATCTCAAGTTTGACAGGTTAACATGGTTTCACGGGTTAATCCAATTAATTATAGGTTAACTCAATAATTATTTTTCCTATTTTGTTATCAAACTTTCATGACGTGAATCTTATGTTTAACGAGTTAACCTGGTTTAAAGGGTTAACCCAGCTAATTTATTTTTTTATTTTTCTTTATTAGTTTTTTCCTGTTGGTTTCTCTTCTTTGTTTTTTATTTTTTATTTATTTATTTAATTATTATATTTTTATGACACGACCATACAACTAAACTCACATCCAAGGCTCTTAGGTCTGATGTTGTAGCAAGACATACTTAAACTTGAGTAATGTAATTTTAATATTATTATTAATATTATAAATATTACTCTTGAGTTAAGCGTTGCAGCTAAATCCAAGGTTTTTAGGTATATCTTTGCAGAAAGACCTAACAGTCTTAGATCTTAGCTTTTTTTGAAATTTTTTATACAAGAAAAAGAAATTAACCCGTTGTATATGTTTTTGTTTGTTTTTTTCCTCTTTTTTATTTTTAAGCTTTTTACTGAGAACTACACAATATAGTCCACAATAAAAAAGCTGATGCTTTTATTTTTTTTCAGCTTCTTTCTTTGTTTTTTAATTATTTTTTAATTTAATTTCTTAATATTAAGTTTTTTCTATTTAATTATCATATTTTTATTATATGAATCCCAGATTTGATAGGATAATTTAGATTTTTTTCCTTTTTCTTCATTAGTTTTTTTTCTTCCTGTATTTTTTTCTCTTTGCTTTTTCCTTTTTAATTAATATTTTTTTTAATATAGTTCATTAAAATTAAATCTTTTTTTTTATTTAGTTATCACATTTTCATGATACGAATTCTAGATTTGACAAGTTAACCTGATTTGACATGTTAACTTAGTTGATTCATTTTTTTCGTCTTTTCTTCTCATTAGTTTTTTTCTTTCATTTTCATCTTTTAAGATTGTATATAGTCACATTGAAAAGATTGATGCTTTTAGTTTTTTTTTGCCTTTCACTATGGACTGCACAGTGTGCAGTGTGAAAAGGTTGGTGCCTTCTTTTATTTTTTTAGTTTTAATTAATTTTTTTTATTCAGTTATCATAATTTCATGACACGGATCTCAGGTTTGACAGTTTAACCCAATTAATTTAGAATTTTTTTCTTTTTCTTCATTAGTTTTTTTCTTTTTAATTATTTTTTTCATTTAATTTAATTTATTAATGTTAATTATTTTCTATTTAGTTATCAAACTTTCATGACACGGAACTCGGGTTTGACGGGTTAGCACAATGAATTCTGGATAACTCGCTAATTTTTTTATTCATAGTTAGTTATCAAACTTTCACGATACGAATCTAAGGTTTGACGGGTTAACCCAGTTAATTTAGATTTTTTTTCTTTTTCTTGATTAGTTTTTTTCCTTCCTATTGGTTTTTTTTAATTAATTTATTTAATTATCACACTTTTGTGACACGACCTTGCAGTCAGACTCACATTCAAGACTATTGAATCTGGTATTGCAGTTAGACCCACTTAAACTTAGGTAGTGCAAGTTTAATGTTATTATTAATAATATAAATATTATTCTTGGATCAAACGTTGCAGCCAAACCCAAGACTCTTGGATATAACTTTGCAGAAAGATCTAATATTTTTAGATCTTAGTTTTTTTTGATATTTTTTAAGCAAAAAATATTTTTACCTCCAGTATCGTGTGGGTTATGTAACTAGTTAGTAACTACAACTACTTGCTAAGAAAAAATAAATAAATAAATTTAAAATAAAAAAGATAATAGATGTAAAACATTTACTTCTGCATCTATCTTTTATTTTTACAATTCTTTTTGGATTGATCAATTAATATATATTTTAATTTATTATATGAGGCATAAACAATATTTTTTCATTGCTCAATTAAAAAATAATTATGATGCATGAAAACATACCCTTAACACAATTTTTTTTTTACATTAGAAATTAACTTAAAATCCCACCTGTAGCAAAAGTGTAAGTAGATCCCTCCTGTATTTTTTATTTTTTATTAACAATTCTTTTATATTTTATCAATTCATATATTTTTTAATTTATTTCATTAAATGTAAACAATAATTTTGTATTTTTTTTAAAATCATCATACAATAAATAATATTCTTAACATAAACACATTTTTTTTACTATATTAAAATTTAACTTGGAATCCTATCCGTGATTTTAGGCAGATTTTAAAGTGGATGGTTAGCTATATAGTTTCAAGAAGGCATTAGCATTATTCAAAATAAGAAAGGCATTACTTGCTGACTTTGTGTATTTTTGAGACTTCGTGTTTGTTTTTAAAATTATAATGCAAGATGTTTTTCACTTAAAAAGTACATTCAAATAATTTTTTTATTTTTTTTAAAAAATTAACTTAATACTATTTCTAAACAAATACTCTTTTAAACTCACAAGCATAATTAAAAACAAGTCGGATAGTAACGAAGCCTAGCCGGATAGGCCTTTTATTTCGTCTTTGTGGTTTTGTCCGATTTCCAAAGTAATAGAGGCCCAATAAACGAGCTTGAGCGGATTGTTTTACTACCATTATTCAGTTGGTTTTTCTATGCCGCAAATGAAAAAATTAGTCTTGGGCAAGGAGGGTGCACCAGGCATGTAGCTCACCGAATCAGTAACTGATACACAGAAGTCATGGGTGATCACTGGTCCAATGCTCTGGGCAAAGCCAATTCCTAAGGCTCGGGTACATATTCATCTTGCCATGCTGATCTAGTAATGTAGAGAACAATCCGAATTGAGGCAATCTTTCTGGATTCGCTCTCCTTGTAACTGTCTTTTTTTGGAATACGGTATAAATTGTGTTTTTAAAAAAATTATTTATTTTATTAAAATTTAATATATTTTAAATCATTTTAATGCATTAATATTAAAAATAATTTTTTTAAATGAAAAAAATTATTGATATATATTTTAATACAAAAAATTATTTAAAAAATAATCATAACCATACTACTAAACACATACATTATAGCATGTACATCTTCTGTTCTATAAAGTCAATGTGAAGTTGATGTCTTCCTCTCAAATTGATTGACTAAAAACCAATTTAAATCAATTTCAATTTGATTTGATTTTTTATAAGAATAAAACCTGCAAAACCTTTCTATTATAAGAAAATTCATAAATAACATTCATTTTCAATGAATCAGTCCAGTTGCAAAATCAGGAAAATTGATTGAAAGTTTAGAACAATACAAGATTTATAATCAAAGCTTAAAAAATAAAAAAAATACATCAAACCTTTATCTTTATCTTGAGATGCATCTAACTGGATAGTTAATTGTTCTGCTAAGAGTTGAATCTGTAAATACAAGAGAGCAAAAATAGTAGGAACTAATCCCTTATCTTGAGACATCAAGGAATACACACGCGCATTAATAAGCTAATAACTTATCATTGATGCATTTTGACTTCTCTTTCCAATGCACATTCAAACTTTTTAATGTTTGGTTGTACAAGCTTTGATTATTGTTCGAACACTTTTATTACACATAAATTTTATTACCCATCTTTATTTGTTGGAGCTTTTCTACCATGGTTTCTTCTGGCATTGCAGACTGAATTTTTAAGCGAGGGAGAGCACTAAAAAACAGAAGATTTTGTTTTTCACTGAAGGAAATTTTTTAATCTATATGAGAGATAGAAAAGGGGGAAGCTACTTTTAGGGTTAGAAACAAATTTAGCTTTTATATCTATTTTCTTAAGTAAATTCTATGTTGATCGAACCGTTCCTATTTGATTAATTGTAATTGATCTCTGGTAATTTCTTTGCTCACGCATGCCTTCCTCCATGTATCACTAGCAGTCCTTTGTGAGTGCAGCGAGCACTTTTTTCTTTCTTTTTCTTTTTTATTTTTTTTTGGCTTGGAGGTGGGGTGATTTATTTTTAAGTATATAATCTTTTAAAAGTACAAACTACACCTCATAAAAATAAAAAATATATAATTTTTTATATAAATTTCATACAAAAAAAACCTAACCAGATTTCCAAACCAAACATCTCTAACTTTCTCTTTTCAAAATGATTTTGGGAGGGCATATTATAAAAATGAGTGTGTCTTTTAGATAATTTTTATGTTTGTGATTTGAAAAAAAAAAAGTTTTTTAAAAGTATGGTTAGATGTGGTTAGTTAGATTTATATGCGTATTTAATAAAAATTATAGTTGAAGTTTATGTATAGCAAAAAAAATATATAAAATGTTTCTTTTGTATTTGAGAATGTAGTTACAGTTATTTTTCAAGGTGTTTTTTATTTGAAAATATATTAAAATATTTTTTATTTTTAAAAAATTATTTTTGATATCAGCGCACCAAAATAATTTATAAACACTAAAAAAATATTAATTTAAAATAAAAAAATAATTTTTTTAAATAAAACACTTTTAAAAAAATAAAAATAAACAGGATTATATAAAAATTAATTAAAAAACATGAAAAAACCACTTCATAAAAGTTACATTTTAAACACTAAATTTTAATATTTTTAATATAAAATATAATTTAATATATTACCAAACATCTTATTAGATTTGTTTCATCACAAACACAAAATTAAGTGGAAACAAACGCAACCTAAACCTACTGCGTATCATAGCAGCGGGAGAGATCGCTTGATAGCCAAGTGTTTCTCATCTCAAACAAAATGGATGTGTTATGTTCGATCCTGTCCACGAATTTTTACATGTTTTTTATTCCCTTTCCATTGTTTTGAATCCACAGTCCAGGAATCTGATTAACGTAATGGCTGGTAGGCTTTTAGCCTAGCTCGTCCATGTTTTCGTTGGATTGCTTTTGTAAACTGTTATCCGCCATTGAAAAATACATCATTGAGCGGTGATAGATTCATGTTGTTTTGGTTAAACAAGTAAACAAGCGGCATTAGATCGCTTCGGAACTTCAATCTTGGTTTCAAAATTTTGAAAATAAAACAAGAAATTTGTTCGTTTATTGTTCTCGAAAATTCATGTTTGATGGTAGTCGTCGGTTTTATTTACTTTTATTTTTTAAATGAAAAATACACAAATAGTTTCTGTTTCAAATTGAATAAAAAATAAAAAATAAAAAATAAAATGATAAAAAAATAAAAAATAAAATGAAAACGGTGTTTAGAGTGTGGGTAATGTGAGCAATTGTTACATATATTTGTTGTTTTGGTTAGAGTTTGTTCCTATAATTTATTTTTTTGGTTACATATATATGCCTCCATAACCTGTACTTTTTGTATATATTTATTAGTTTAATGCAAAATGCCATGATCACTAAATAATATTGATTTTTCAAAAACAAGTACTGTTTTTGATAAAAAGTAAATGAAGTGTGTGTATTTTTTGCCCTTTTATTTTACATCAATTTAGTTTAATTCACATGTAGACATGAATATTTTTTTTTAGACTTAAAAAAATTCCACTTATTTATTGTAAAATGTACTTTGTAAGTTCAGATGAATAAATAAAATTTTAGTTGTTTTAAATTTTTATAAAAAATAAACGTTCTAACTCGAATTCAAGGAATTCAAGATTTATTGTGTATATCTTTATTTTTTTATTATTCCGTTAGAAACATGAATAGGTAAGAACATGAATAGTTGTATATATACTTCATAGTAAATTTGTCCCAGCTAAGAATTAAATATTTCTAAATCCAAACCCTGTCAACGAGTGACAAAAATAGAATTTCACTAACAGATGCGATTAATCAAGAGATTGTGAAAGGGGGAGCTAATTGTAACTCTCGCAATGTAATTAAGCTGTTGAACCCCGCAAAAAAGGAAAATCCATGTGATGAATTAGCCATCAGTATCACGAGGGGTTCGATTCATTTTGCGTTTTAGGCTGCAGATTAGAGGCTGCGAAACCTAGTGCTCCCATAGCCCAGCAGACATCATCTCCATTCACAGTTTTGCGCCTTTCCTTTCTACACTTCTCGGATGCTTCACCGGTGGCAAAGCTAATAAACTCTGAAGCACATTCTTGCATCGTTTCCTTGGCTTCTTTGGAGATTTCGCGTTAGGCGGCAGAATTTGCTTCATGATCCGTCCAGCGTCTACAGGCAACAACCTGTCTTGCTCCAGCTTGACGCCGCCATCGTCACTTGAAGCGTCAGCACCAACATCTTCGACCATGTCTAACTAGATGCAAAGAATTTAGTCCTCCTTTTTACTCCAACCTAGCTAGACTTGCCGTTTGGTTGGTCAAAAACTCACCTTGTGTAACCCTTCAGACGAAGCTAACCAACTATCACAATGCTTCTCTCAGCCCACCACCTCTCCCAACCCACCACCACCAAAGCAACCCTACCCTAAATCACCACAAATCTCCATACCACCATGCTAAACACCTATCCCAACCCACCACGGCAATCTTAGCCTTTCCTAAATCTTCAAACCACCCTGCTACCTTTACACGAAACCCTACCCCGTCCCCTGTTACATCCTCTGCACCTACTACTAAAACCCTTGGCCCAACACCTTATACCACCGCTCCCACTGATTCAGACCATGTTAAGTTGTTCTTTGAGAGATTTCCTTCATGGGTGGAATATCGACTTTTTTGTTGGTGGGAGAAACCACTTGTGGTGGCTTTGAAACACTCGGAGGGGATAAAACACACTCTTTTATTTCAAGAACAAAGCTTACAATA